TCTAAAAATGTTGATCTCATTGAGGTACAAAGTGGAATAGTGATTATCAGAGAAGAGGGAGGATAGAGAATAGAGGGAATAAAGAGAGGTAGTCAATGGGTTTGAAGTTATCATCAGACAGGAGGGATAAAATGTGGTGCTCTACTCCACAGTAAGGCAACTGTAGTTAATTAATGTATTACATATTGTAAAATAGCTTCAAGATGGGATTTTGAATGTTCTCATCACAAAGAAACTATGTTTGAGGTGAGGGATATACTAATTACCCTGATTTGCTCATTACACAATGCATATGTGTATTTTTTTTAGTTGCCAGAGGGTGTATGTGCTTGCCAAGGAGAGAGAGAGAGACACCCCCCCCCCAATGACACATGGTCATACCACAATTCCTTCTCCTCGACTTCTCCTATATGTCAGGAGTTTGGGAATACATACACACACACACACACACACACACACACACACACCATGTCTTTCAAGCTACTAGGGCCAAAATTTGAACTGCAGTCAGCCAACTGGGACTCAACTCCCCTAACCACCAGGCAATGGGGCCAGCTCCACAATGCGTACACATATTGAAACATCACATTGCATCCATAAATATGTGCAATTATTTTGTGCCAATAAAAAGAATTTTTGAAAAAGAAATTGTAAAAGGGCCAGCAGGTAGCATGGTGGTTAAGGCACTAAATTCACACATAGCGGACTGTGTGCTTCAAGTGCTGGACCCAGCAGCGTGGAAATCATGCGAGGTGTGTGTGTGTGTGTGTGTGTGTGTGTGTGTGTGTGTATGCCTAAATCCCAAGAGGAAAATGGAAGAGAAGGGATTGTGATATGGCAAACCTCCAGGAGTGATTTATCACTTTCTCTCTCTGTGTCTCTCTGGTGAGCACACGTGTCCTATGATTAAAAAAAAAGAAAGAAAAGAAAGAAAGAGAAAGAAAGAAAGAATAAGAAAGAAAGGAAGAAAAATGAAAGAAAGAAAGAAAGAAAGAAAGAAAGAAAGAAAGAAAGAAAGAAAGAAAGAAAGAAAGAAAAAAGAAAGAAAGAAAGAAAGAAAGAAAGAAAAAAAGAGAGAAAGAAAGAAAGAAAGAGAAAGAAAGAAATTGTAAAATATACAAACAAAGGGGCCAGCTGGTGAAGTGGTGGCTGGAGTGTTTGGATCCCATATGGTCAGCAATTCAAGACCTGGACCCAGAGGCTTGAAACACATGTGGATGCATGTGCATGTGTACTCAAAATCCTAAAAGAAAAAATGAAAAAGAAGGGGTGGCAGTTTGGCAATCTCTGCAAGGAATTCTTTTTCACTTTCCCTCTTTCTTTCTCTCTTTCTGTTTCTCTCCAGTGGGTGCAAGTGCCCACTAGTAAATTTTTTTTAAATCAAATAAATGGAAAGATAAGTTCAATGACTAGAATAATTAATAGTGATAAAATGCCCATACTGCCCACAGTGATCTACAGATTCAAGGCAATTCCTGTATTAAATCCGAAGGGATTTTTCGTAGAAATAGAAAAACATCCTAAAATTTGAATGGAATCATAAAATCCAGAATAGCCAAAGCAATCTTAACCAGGAAAGGTCTAGAGGCATCACACTAACTAATACCTCATTTCAAACTATATTACAGAGTTACAATAATCAAAACAGTATGTACATGCATGTATAAAAACAGACTCATAGACTTATGGAGCAGAACAGAGAACCCAGAAACAAACTCACACATACACAGGCAACTATTTTCCCATATAAGTGCCAAGAATATACATGGGGAAAGGATAGATTCTTTGACTAATGATAGTAGGAAAACTGAGTGTACACATACCAAAAAAAAAAAAAAGAAAAGAAAAGAAAGAAAGAAAGAAAGAAAAAGAAAGAAAGAAAGAAAGAAAGAAAGAAAGAAGAAACGGAATTGAGCCCTTTTTATAAACTATGCACAAAACTCAATTCAGATGGTTTAGAGACATAAATGTAAATCCTGAAACCATAAAACTCCCAAAATAGGGACCAGCAGGTGGCACAGTAGTTAAGGTGCTGAACACTCCCACATAGCTGACCACGGTTCAAGTCTTGGACCTGTCGGCTTGCTTTCTCACTTTCCCTCACTCTCTATGTGTGTGTCTCTCTCTGGTCAGATTAAAATAAAATGAATGAATAAATAAAATTAAATAATTCTTTAAAAAAAAAAAAAAAACTCCCAAGAGAAACAGGGGGCAAGCTCCTTTACCTGGATCTTGGAAATACTTTATAAAATCTGACACCAAAAATACAGGCGACAAAAGCAAAACTAAACAAGTTGGACTACGTCAAACTAAGAAGTTTCTTCGCAGCAAAGAAAATTACCTTTAAACTTCTCTAAGAAAATGAAAAGTGGTAGAAAACATTTATATACCAAATATCCAATAAGGGGTTAATATCTAATATATGAGGAATTCAAGTAACTCTATACCAAAAACAAAACAAAAGAATAACCTGATTATATTTTATAGAAGATATGCACATAGCCAATGAATATATGAAAATATGTCCCACATCACTAATCATCAGGGAAGTACAAATCAAAGCCACGATGAGATATCACTTTCCATCCATTAGGACCAATATCATAAAAAGTCAAAAGGTGACAAGTGTCAGCAACAACATGGAGAAAAGGCAACTCTTGTACCCTGTTGGTGGGAATGTAAATCAGTACAGCCATTATGGAAAACGATATGGAGGTTTCTCAGAAAACAAAACTGAGAAGTACTATACCATTTAGCATTCCCACTTCTGTGTGTATAGCTGAAGAAATGTCTGCATTCCCATGTTTATTGCAGATTATTCACAATAGCCAATATATGGAAACAACCTACAAATACTTCAGTGGATGAATTGGTAAAACATATGACGCAGACACACACACATACGAACGGCACATATTTTAAAAATAGAATATTATTCAGCCTTGAGAAAGTAGAAATTCCTTGAGAAATTCTGCCATTTGCAACAACATGGCTGGACCTGGAGGGCATTTAATCATTATGAGTGAAATAAGCCACACAGAAAGACATATACTGCGTGGTTTTATTTGCACACAGAATATAAACAAACAACCAACAAGGTCAAACTCATTATAACAAAAACTAGAATGCCAGTTATCAGAGATGAAGTGTGGGGAAGAAGGGGAGATAATTGTCACAGGGTACAAATCTTCCGTTGTAATGTAAGTAACTCTTGCAGACCTAACGTACAGCATGGTGAGCATAGTAAATAACAATGAAATGTAAGGGAGCAGATACCAAATATTCTCACCATACACAAAAATGTGGGGATTTTAAGGAATTATCTATTCAATCTTTATTTATTATTTTTTTTTATTCGAACAGAGATAAACAAAGAGAGAGAGGGAAAGTACAGAAGTAAGCCTCAAGTCCCAGGTCTGGGACTTGAACCGCGGTCAGCCATGTGGGAGATCAGTGACCCCAACCACCACACCACCTGCTGACTCCACAAAATGTTAGTTTCAATAGATGTGAACTAAAAATATGAAGTGATATATGTTAATTCGCTTGATTGTGGTAATCATTTTTCAATGTATACACGTGTCAAAATATCACATTTTATATCATAAATGTACATATATAATTTTTCTTTGTTGATATCTCCATAAATCTGTTTTGGGTTTGTTTTTTGGTTTTGTTTCCATGGGGCACATGTGCTCACCAGAGAGAGAGAGAAACAGTAGAGGGAAAGTGAGAAATCACTCCCCAGGGGTGATGGCCATGCTACAATTCCCTCTCCTGCACTCTTTTCCTGGGATTCTGGACTTGCACACACACACACGCACTTGGCGTGAATTTGAACTGCAGTCAGCAATGTTGGAGTCTGTAGCCTTAACTTCTATGCCACCTGTTGGTCCAATTAAAGCTGTTTTTAAAAATGAAATAGCTATGGGGACCAGCAGTTAGCGTTAATGGCTATGTCGCTGGACTCCCATGTAGTCAACCGCGGTTCGCGTCCCGGACCTGGTAGCTTAAAACTCACGCAAGGGCGCCTGTGCGTGCGTGCCCAAGATCTCGAGAGAAAAATGAAGGAGAAGGGATTGTGGTGTGGCTATCCTCCCTGGTGGGTGATTTCTCACTTTCTGTCTCTCTGTCTCTCTCTGTCTGTCTGGCGAGCGCATGCACCCTATAGCAAAAACCTCTCCAAAAAAAAGAAAAAGAAATAGCTATGGATGGGGGGGCCAACAAAAATGAGTGAAAGAAGAAAATCATTCAGAGTCCACTGGGTGATAACAGAATCCTTTTGGATTCTGTGCAAAGCTGCTCTCTGGGGACTATGAATGCTTCAGGGTGGAAGAGATCAGTCTTCCATGAGAGGCTGCATATTTTAGCATTGCCTCTTTGGTATTCATTCTTTTATGTGATAATAAAACCAGTAGTCTCAAACCAGGGTGAGTATGACTGACCTGGAGTCACTCTTAAAAATATAGCTTTCTAGTATGCATCACTGGACTACTGAATCAAAAACCCTCTGAAAAAGCTCCACTGGCGATCCTGAAGCACCAGCTGGGTATTGGTCCAAAGGTGGATGGCACTGGAGAATCATAAATTGAAGCATTAGAAGTTGACCTTAAAAAGGTTCAAATTTGAGTCTTCTATTTATTAACCATGGCACACTCCAAATAAATGTTCAATTCTCTGACTTCAGTTCCTTTATTTGTAAAACAGTGCAAATATACACATACATAGACACATATGCATATGATGTGTTGACATGTGGGTTAATTGCAATATTTTGTATGAACTGTCTGAGCTGTTGAATATCATACCATAAACCATCCATTAGTGCAGCTATGCTAATTATCACAATATTTATTAATGAAATTCAGAAATATTTGAAGCTGTGTATGGCAGAATAAATATACAAAAAGTACATGATAATATCAGTCTGAATCAGGCACAGTATGTAGATCAAATAGAATATGTTTTGATATTATTTGTATTTTCTTTTTTATTCTCAGTTATCCAAAGTCTATGGCCCTGTGTTCACTGTGTATTTTGGCATGAGGCCAATAGTGGTGTTGCATGGATATGAAGCAGTAAAGGAAGCCCTGAATGATCATGCAGAAGAGTTTTCTGGAAGAGGTTTTTTCCCCTTGGCTGACAGAGCTAATAAGGGATTCGGTAAATATATGCATATTTGTACATGCACATGTGTTGGGCAGTGGCGATGGGAGTGGAGGCATGTAAAACAGAAACATAAAAAGCTCCAGAAGCAGAGCTTACCTATTGGTGTGGCTGCCTCCTGTCACCCTCCTCTTCCTTGCCTGGGATCTCCTAGTTTCTGTTTCCCCTTCCCATAGGAGTCGTCTTCAGCAATGGGAAACTGTGGAAGGAGACTCGGCGCTTTTCTCTCATGACTCTGCGGAATTTCGGTATGGGGAAGAAGAGCATTGAGGAGCGTGTTCAAGAGGAAGCCCAACGCCTTGTGAAAGAGTTGAGAAAAACCCAGGGTAGGTAACTCTTCACTCTGTGTCACTGACCTTGACAGACTGCCCTCTTTTCTAATGACGATCTTGAAACATTTCAGGGGCAGACACGTCTTTCTTTATGGGGGATGGTTGTCAGTTCTCCTGTGGAGGAGGGAGATTTTGAAGCAGAGAGCCAAGGGAGCCATTGCGTATCTCTGGTGTGCGTGTACAGGCATGACGGTGCATACGAAGGGGGGCATGAAGGCCACTTATCCCAGTCTGTCCAGCTTTGTTTCTTTGTTTTCAATTCATTACATCATGAAGGTAGATAAAGGTAGAGGCTTCATTTGATTTTTTCTTCTGTAAAAGCTTATTCCATGAACAAGAGAAACAGAGACAGAGAGAGCACCCTTGACAGGGTCTTGATGCAGCAATTCACCCCAGCCTCAGCCAGCGCCTGATCATGGGCACTGGCATGCCTGATGTACTCATGGAGGTCTCTGGGTAAGAACTCAGAACCAGAGCATCTTGTTTTGCCACTGCATCATCATCCACTCTGAGTTTTATGTTCTTAAAGCATTAAAGGGCAAGGTTTCTCCTGTAGTGTAACTGTGGGTTACCTGTTCCACAAGTATAACTGTGAAATATTTGTCAAGTGTTTCACAGTGAAAATAACCTTACACTCTTACAAAGCTGAACCAACTTACATGTGTTTTTGCTAATTTGGTCCATAATTTCTATCGCACCAGGACCGTATGCCTGCATACCCAAAATCCCACAAGTAGAATGGAAGAGAGTGGATCGTGGCTCACTCAATTTTCCTCTCTCCAGGTCTCTGTCTCTCTTTCTGGCAAGTGTGCCCTATGGCAAACACCTTTAAAAAAAAAAAGTGACCTCTTTTGGGTCAGCCAGTGGCATGGAAGTTAAAGCACTGGATTCCAAATGATCAGCTGAGCAGTTTGAATCCTGGAAGTGGCAGCTTGATAATCATGTCAGGCATGTGCGCATACATGCCCAAAATCCTGAGAGAAAACTGGAAGAGGGACTATGAAATAGCCATCTCCCTGGGCAGTGATTTCTCACTTTCTCTCTGTATACATCTCTCTCCAGCAAAAGCATGTGCCCTATGACAAAACACTAAAACTTTTTCACAAAAATTTTAAATGATCTCTTTAAATGTTTTTTCTCTCTAAAATAAGAGACATCATGGGTTAGAATGGTTTAAATAAAGTAGATTTAAACAGGATAGTGAGAAAAGCTATTCAACTAACTGGGATGTGATGGTCAACCTAAGTTAAAGGGAAAAGGGATAAGCTGGTTTTGTGCACTTTATCCTGATTATTTTCCTCTTAAGGGAATTTCTGGGTTTCTAAAATGATCTTTTCCTGTTATGTCAAAGACAAATACTTTTGTTTGCTCATCGTAATGGTGTTTTTCAATGTTTCCAATCCTTTAGCCTCACCCTGTGATCCAACTTTTATCCTGTGCTGTGCTCCCTGCAATGTGATCTGCTCCATTATTTTCCAGAATGGTTTTGATTATAAAGATAAGGCTTTTCTTGAACTGCTGGAAATGTTGAATGAAAATGTCAAAATTCTGAGCTCCCCGTGGACACAGGTGAGAACAAGACTTTTTCTTCCCAAGAAACCATTTGTGCTTTTTTGCTCTGACAAGTCCCAAATTCTAATGGACAGACTGTGAATTCGATATTTGGATACTCCAGTCCTGCCCAGACTTTAGTGCCACAGAGCGAATGTCTGGGCAAGATACAGGGAACCTTTTATTACGCAAGGAACTGAGTGCCCAATACAGAGATGACATTGAAGTCCACTGGCTTCCTGATCGGTAGTTTTCTTCCAAACTCCAAAGCCATACAGCATCTTGGTGATAGCTCTCAATGGACATCCAAGCCTTTGTCGAAGTCTTCCATTATCCACAAGAGTTTCCCTTTAATCGACCCTTAGAGACCATATCATCAAATTACTTGGTGGAAATATCCTAATTTGGGATATCAATGAGGGAAAATGAGAGCACCGAGCCTGCCAGGAAATTCTGAGTGAAATATGAGCATTTGATGCTTGACCTAGGATCCTAGGTGACCAGGTAACTGGGTTAGGATTACAAAATAATTGGGCTTCCAGTGTAGGACCCGTAAACAAACACAATTTTACTCCATTCTGAACGGGCAGGCCCTACATTCTTTCCACAAGAAAGTGATGCGACCTTAGAGAAGTCACTTCCATGACTTTCCCCATAAACTGGTCAATTAAATTCCGTGGTATTAGCAGTTAGCGTAACGGCTATGTCGCTGGATTGCCACGTAGTCGACTGCAGTTTGCATTCCCAGACCCAGTGGCTTAAAACTCACGCTGGGCATGTGCGCGTGCCTGCGTGCCCAAGATCCTGAGAGGAGAACGGAGGAGAAAGGATTACGGCATGACTATCCCCCTCTGGGGGATGATTTCTCGCTTTCTGTCTCTCTGTCTCTCTCTGTCTGCCTGGCAAGCACGCGTGCCCTAAAGCAAAAAAACCTCCCCCCCAAAAAAAAAAAATTCCATGATATTTTTAAAACCTTTTGCTTCTAAAATAATTATTCTATTTCCAAGGCTCCTTGATACAAGTGAGAAACAGCAGACCATCCCTGCTCGCTTTAGCAGAAAACTAAAACTGAAACTCTCTTAACTTCTGGGTTTACCTAGAGTTGGAACAGTAGAAATTCATGCCATTTGTTCTTCCAGAGTGTTGAAAAGAATTGGCTTTTTAAATGAGAAAACTGATATAAATTTTATCTCTAAAAATGACTTATGGTTATGGGAAATAATTATCATCTCCTCTCATCCTATAGTCAGAATTATCTTCCTCAAATCTTTCTATAAGCATAGAAAATTAATATATGTGTACAATAAAAATGTCCTCTTCGAGATAGTGAGCACTATTTCTTTGTTTGTTATTTAATTTCTAAAGCTAAAGTTTTGAATCTGGACTTAGCATATATGATATAAGGTACACACACACATCTTTATTAAATACTTTTATTTAATTTTTTTTTTGTCTTTTAGATCTGCTCTAATTTCCCTGTGCTCATAGATTATTCCCCAGGGAGTCATACAAAATTACTTAAAAATATTTCTTATATAAGAAATTACATTTTGGAGAGAGTAAAAGAACACCAAGTGTCCCTGGATATTAACAATCCTCGGGACTTCATCGATTGTTTCCTGATCAAAATGGAACAGGTAAAGTGTTAACAGCTCAGTTATTCAATTACATGTGCATTTTGTGTTGTGGTTCATAGGTTCTTTCTGTAGCTACTAGCGATGTTCAAATGGCCAGGCAAGAAATGTTTGATAAACACTTTAAATACCTCTTGTATGTATGGATCTACACTTAGCATCACAGAAAAAATTAAATTGTTTAATATGACTGTTATTTAGGTCCTAATAATCTAGCTTGAGGAGGGCAGAAAGTACACCTCAGGTGAAATAGGAACAATTACAAATAAATTTAAAAATACAAAGAATTGAGTCATAGAATGAAGATGGAAATAATTATTTATAGTCAATATATGAAAGAATGAGAAGTCAAGATCTGACCAAGGTGGGCTTCCTTCATGTTCTGAAGTTTGAGCAGCTCTTGAAATATATGCAGTGAGGGACAGGATAGGGGATTTCAAATGGGTTCAACATGCACACAGAGGTTCAGAAGTGTGTGATGGTAAAAACTTCAGGTGGGAGGACAAGGGAAATTTTAACTGAGTGTAAAACAGAAAGGAATTTCGACAGACTAGGAAGTGTAGATTGGTGTCTGTCAAGTAACCTGTGAGCATGAACATTGACCTGGAAGGTTCTGATCTGAACAGTAAAGAGGAGCTAGGAAAAACATAAGTTCCGATAATTATGAGGGAAAATTATTCTTTGTGAGTCCGTTAGAGCAATCTATATGACGAGAATAGAGCTCAAGGACTAGTTGGAGATTTTTTATTTCTTCAGATTTGGCCTTGATGAGAGTCTGGGTGATTGAAATACAAATGAGTCTAAAATAAAGTCAGTGTTGTCTGTCTTATCATATTGTCAGGGATGTAGGAAGAGAGTCAATTAGGGGGTACCATGGAATCAAAGTAGAAGCAACATTTTAGAAGAAATGGAACAGATCAAATTGGGAAGTGGAAAATATCCTTGAGAAGTATTTGGAGTATTTGAATGGTATGAGACTTTGTGTCTGCGGAGTTTTATAGTGAATAGCTTTAGATGGGAGCCAAATTATAGGGGCTTATCCTATGAGAGAAGTTTAACCAAGGAGGAAAAGACTTGGATTATTCATTTAAATGATGGAAGAGTCAAGTCAAAAACTGTGTACTGGGGCCAGCAAGTGGCATGGTGGTTAAGGTGTTAGATCCAATATTACCAGCTCTATGGCTTGAGTCTCAAACTGGTGACCTGAAAAATACATCGGGCACATGTGCATGCATGCCCAAAATCTTGAGAGGAGAATGAAAGAGAGGGGATTGTGGTGTGCCCATTCCCCCTGAGGGGGATGATTTCTCACTTTCCCTCTCCCTCTTTCTCGGCCCTGACTCTGTTTTTTGCATCCTATAGCAAAAAATTGATTAAAAAATAAGTAAGTAAAATGAACCAAAAAAAGCCCTGTTCTTTCCGCCATCTTTCCGTGCTGCCATAATGATGCACATGAATGTCCTGCCTGATGCTCTCAAGAGCGTCATCCAGGGGCCAGTTGGTGGTATAGTGGTTCTGGCACTGGACTCCCACATGGTCAACAGTAGTTTGAGTCCTGGATCTGGCAGCTTAAAAATCACACAGGGCATGTGCGCGAGTATGCCCGAAATCCCAGGAGTAGAAGAGAGAAGGGACTTTGGCGTGGCCATCCTCCCAGGGAGTGATTTCTCACTTTCTCTCTCACTGTCTCCCTCTGTCTCCTCTCTGGCAAGTACACACACCCCATGGCAAAAATCTTCAAAACAAAACAAAAAAGAATCATCAAGGCAAAAGGAAAGGCCAATGCCAGGTTATTAGGCCGGGCTCCAAAGTCATTGTCTGGTTTCTAACCGTGATGATGAGGCATGGTTACATTGACGAATTTGAAATCATCAGTGACCACAGGCATGGAAAAATGTTTGTGAACCACTCAGGCAGGATGAGCATGTGTGGAGTGGTCACCCTCCGATTTGATGTGCAATGCAAATATCTAAAGAAATGGCAGATCTGCTCCCATCCCTTCAGTTCGGTTTCATTCCAAAAGCAACCTGCACTGGCATCACAGACCACGAAGAATCAACATGGAAATACACCGGAGGAAAAATCCTGGGATCCCTTTTCTAGGGATGTAATACACACATACAAATAAAATGCCTCCATGGAAAACAATTGTGTGAGAAGGATAATTGCGATACCATGAGGACGTTCTTATGGGTATAAAGTTCTTGCTGAAATAGGTTGAGGTCAACTCCAGAAAACACGGAAAGAAGTTAACTGTGGAGATGAGAACTCATTTTTCTGAGACCACTATTATTTTATTTGAGCACTTTTTAGCACTGAAAAGATGTGAGAAACCAATTAACAGGTGCTTAAGAAGTTGAAGAAGCCACAAGAGATACCATTTAAAGACGTATCCATGACATCCAAGCTGTGTTCTCAAGTCGTGTGCTGTGGTGGAATGAAGTCAGAAGATGAAATGATTTGAAGATGCAGATTACTTATATTCTTTGCCTTCTTCTCTGCTAAGGCAATGATCCTTATCCCTTTCTGGGGGAGACCTATTTATTTGAGAATCTAATTAAATGTGTGGACACTTTTCAATAATGAACCTACATGAGTTCTCCATATTTTGCACATAGTTGGAGGCTTTTACTTAAGGCATTGAAGCCTCTTAGTATTTCAATTTCAAATAGCTATTTCCTGAATATTGCACTTAAAAACAATATTATGGGTCAGATGGTGGTACGGTGGTTAAGGCAGCTGGATCCCACATGGCTGACCAGTTTGAGTCCTGGACTCAGTGACTTGAGAAACACATTGGGCACATGTGTGTGCATGCCCAAAATTCCAAGAGGAGAATGGAGAAGAAGGGATTGTAGCCGAGTCATCTCACCAGGGAGTGGTTTCTCACTTTCCTTCTCTCTATCTACTGTCTCTCTGATGTATGCAGATGTCCTAGAGCAATAATTAAAAAGAAAAAAAATACATTATTTTCTGGATCTCACTCTTGTATTGAGATTAGCTTATTATTATTACTATTAGTAACAGATATATTGAGATAAAATTAATACATCATACCACTGCACCACTTGAAGTACACAATTCAGTCATTTTTAGTATTCTTCACGCAGTTGTGAAACCATCATCACCATCAACTTCAGAGCTTGTTCATCATCCTCAAAAGAAACCGTTTAGTAATTATCTCTCATTTCTCCCCAAACATTCCTAGTAGTTCCTGGGGAACTACTAATCTGTGTTTTGTCTTTGTAGATCTTCTTGCTGTGGACCAGTCATAAAAATAGAATGTTTAAAATGTGGCCTTCCATGTTAGCTTTCTTCAATTAGCATCTTTCCAATGTTCTTCATCATTGCAGTATGTATGAGTACATCATTCCTTTTCTAGAATGAGTCCATTATATGAATATACCACATTTTACTTATTTACTCATTGACTAAGAAACATCTCACTTTAATTTTTGGCTATTATGAATAATGCTTCTATGAACATTTGTGTGCAAGTTTTTGTGTGCACTTATGTGCTTATTTCTTGTGGGTATATACCTGGGAGTATAATTGTTGTGTTATATTGGACCTTTTTGTTTAAACTCTTGAGGAATTGTGGTTGATCAAAACAAACAAAAGAGAGGGACCAGCAGTTAGCGTAATGGCTATGTCGCTGGACTCCCATGTAATCAACCGCAGTTCGCGTCCCGCAACCAGTGGCTTAAAACTCACGCTGGGCGTGTGTGCGTGCATGCCCAAGATTCTGAGAGGAGAATGAATGAGAAGGGATTGTGGCGTGGCCACCACCCCTGGGGGGTGATTTCTCACTTTCTGTCTTTATGTCTATCTGGCGAGTGCACACGTCCTATAGCAAAACCTCTAAAAAAAAAAAAAAAAAAAAGAGGAACCATTAGGTGACATGATGTTTAAGGTGCTGGACTCCCAAATGCCGACCACGGTTTGAGTCTGAAGTCCTAGTGTCTTGCTTTCTTGCTTTCCTTTTCCCCTCTTTTTCAATAAAATTGAATACAAGATAAACAAAAGAGCAAAAACTAGAAAACTCTTAGAAGGAAACATAGCCAGAAAAGGAGTTGCATTATTTTATATTCCCACCAACAGTGTATGAAGGTTTCAGTTTCTCCATATCCATATCCACACTTGTCATTATCTTTAGGTTTGATTATATCCACCTTAATGGTGTGAAGTGGTCTCTCTGAAGTTTTGATTTGCATTTCCTGGATGGTTGATATTGTTAAACATTTTTTCAGGTGCTTTTTGGCCATTCATATACTTCCTTTGGAAATATGAGTATTCATCCTGTCTTACTGCACTTTAAGAAAACCTTCAATAAATGTTTTGGCTCTGCTTGATGATAGCTTTGAGTTTGTCATATATGGCCTTTATTATGTCAAGAAATGTGCCTCTATATCTATTTGGTTGACAGTTTTAATAATGAAATAATATTGTACTTTTTCAAACTCCTTTTTTGCATCAATTTATAATCACATGATTGCTAGTTTTCCTTGTATTAATGTGATATATAATGTTCATTGTTTTGTGAATATTTAACCATCTTTGCCTACCTGGGATGACTCCTACTTGGTTATGATATAATTTTTGTTGTTGTTGTTATAGAGCACAGGCACTCACCAGACAGACAGACAGAGAGATAGAAAGCGAGAAATCACCCCCCGGGGGGGTGGCCATACCACAATCCCTTCTCCTCCATTCTCCTCTCGGGATATTGGGCATGCATGCACACACGCCCGGCATGAGTTTTAAGCCACCGAGTCCGGGAAGCAAAACGCGGTTGACTACGTGGGAGTCCAGCGACACAGCCATTACGCTAACAACTGGTTCTCTAGCTTTAAATTCTGTCTTTAAGTTATTTTTTCCACTCTCATCTCAGTATATTATATATAGCCCTGAAGCAGCCTGAGTGCTTGGTTGTTTAGTAATTTTTCTGGTCAGATAGGCAATTCCACTGAATTAAGATTGACTCTCCACAGAGCCTTAGGACACAGACATAGACACTTTCCTCCAGCTCCCAATAAGTTGCCATGTCCATCTGAGGCCTCCTCAGAATGGCCTTTACTATCCATATTTCTCTGTCAGCACTCTGGCCAGGACCATTCCACCGATCTCTGAGATGGTCTGATCTTGGCTTCTCTTTTCTTCTGACCTCCAACAGAGTTGCCCTCAGTGCATTTAATCTTTTCTAGCCTGATCCTGCAAAGTCTTCCAGCCTCTACCCATCACCCAGTTCCAAAGCTGCTTTTATATCTTCAGGTATCTGTACAGAAACACCCCATCTAAATGCCAGGTTTCTATCTTAGACCTTTGTAATGTTGCTACAACAGAAATACATAAGACTGGGCAATTTATAATAAAAGAAGTTTATTTATGATTAATATAATTGCTTTAATTTACCAGAGAATCACCAGAGAGAGAGGAAGAGCAAGTGAGAAAGCAAGCTACCAGGTCCACTTAAAACTGCGTTCAGCCATGTGGGAACATCCAGCACCTCAACCACCACGAACCCTATTGAACCCTGTTCTCTATTTTTTTTAATTGTATTTATTAATATAATTTTTAATTTGACCACAGAGACAGCCAGGGCAGGGGTGGGGGGAGTGAGAGAGCAAGCCAATAGTCCAGGATGCTCGACCATGTGGGAGTCAAGCACATTAACCACTATGACATCTGCTGGCCCCTGCTCTCTTTTTGATCCCTCTGGGCAGCTGATGTTCAAACTGACTTCATGTTTGTAGAGCCTTGTCAATTTGTATATTCCTGTTCATTCTTGCACTTGTTTCCTAAAACAAATTGCATATCTCCTGATATCTGGAGCATCATAGTGGCCAGTTTCATCTTGCTTTAGTGAACCCACTTTTTCTGGGATCTGTTTTACAATGTGCTGCCATATTGACTTTTGCACAATTTCAACATCATGAGTCTGTGAGCAATTCTGAGTCCAATATTTTTTTTTTTTTTAGAGAGAAATTTTTGGCTATAGGGTTCATGCATTTGCCAGAGAGACAGAGAGACATCAAGCAAGAAACCACCCCCCGAGGGAGGAAGGCAACACCACAATCCCTTCTTCTCTGTTTTCCTCTTGGAATTTTGGCCATGCATGTCCATGTGCCCAGCGTGAGTTTAAGCCGCCGAGTCTGAGACTCGAACCACAGTCAACTCTGTGGGAGACCATCAATATAACCATTACGCCATCTGCTGGTCTTTCAACTAAATTTTTAATCAGAAAATAATTGTTTTATTGTTGTTTGTTTTAGATACGTTGTGTGTATTCACCAGAGAGAGATAGAGAGGGAAAATGAGAAAGCACCTTCCCAGGAGGATAGCCATATGGCAGTCCCTTTTTTCCCATTCTCTTCATGAAATTTTAGGCATTCACTCACACACATGCACCTTGCATGTTTTTTTAATCTACAGGGTATGGAACTTGAACTGCCTAGTCCTCCGTGTGGGGTCTAGCTGCCTAAACCAGTATACTACCGCTGTCCCAGAGCTATGTATTCTTAATTTAAGCTTATTATGTCTTCCATGATATGGCGCCTATATACCTATTTCTAGCAATTAAAATTGAGTTTGTCCACAAATAAGAGAAAACAGCTAATGATGCCTTTAAAAATAATGGGATTACTTAGCTTACATGCAAGAGAGTCTTGTGGATTGCCAGTAGCCCTGAGACATTGCAAACTCAATTGGCTTCCTTTACAAAAAACCTCTGAGATGGACATTCATCTCTGTGCTTGTACCCTGCTATCTAGGTGCCCACTTTACCTATATCTTCATCTCTACATTTTGAGTAAAAAAAGAAGAAAAGAGAGGAAGTGGAACTAGCAGGCTTTTGTTTTTATCTCACCTGTAAGAAGTATACCTCATGAATCACCTAGCTACACACGGTGATGGATGGATTTTCTTTTTTTTTTTTTCTTTTTTTTTTTTTTTTGGGGGGGTTTTGCTTATGGGGGGCTGGCGCCG